TAGTAACTTTTTTATTTTTTGACTAAAATATGAAATTAAAAAATTATGTTTGAGATGATTTTTTGACTTTTTACAAAGAAAAAATGTGCAAATGGAAGAAAGGAAAATTTTGCCTTTTTTCTATAATTCTTTAATCTTTCTAATTTTTTTAGTAATTTTTTGAATTTTTAATTATTATCCAAACTTCTGTTTTAAGTATGACTTATAAACTAACTTTTTTACTTATTATGAAAATATGTAAAAAAAAAAAAGTAAGGTGATAATATGACTCAAATGAACTAATAAATAACTTATTTGTGATGTCAAACCAAGAGCCTTACAAATACTATTAAATTTCAATGTTTATGTTAGGGCATAACATCAATGATCATATTTAGGAGATGTTTGAAATGTTCTAAATAAGTGTATTTTTTAATTTTTTATGAAATATAGATTGGATTTGAAGTGATGCGGTAGAGAAATGATGTGATTTAAATAGGATAGTGATTTTTTGACTTTTATAGTATATGTCAAACAAGGCCTTGAGAAGTTAACTATTTTAATTAATTATTTAATTTTTTGACTATTTTAATTTGACTAAAATAATTAAAAAATTAATTATTTTATTATTATTATAATTGATTTAATAATTATAAAATAAAAAATAAAATAATTATAGATAAAATATAATATTTTATTTTATTAACTACATCAATCTATTTATTTTTAATGATATATATTTTTTTAGCTCTACCTTCATCCATTGTCATGGCTTGTATCCAAATGACTTTCGCGTGTATCCACGCGATCCAAAAGAGAGTAAAAAACAGCAATGTTTTTACCCTGAAAAAATAGAAAGGCAAACAGTTATAGTTAACACCTAGTCACATCAAACCTAACTCAAGTTAGTTAACCCCAGTCTGTCAACCAGTTTCAGCCAAGTACCTTCTAACCACAGTTAAGAAGTTGTCCAGTCCAGTTGAGAAATTGTTGACGGAAGCACTGTCTCTCGTGGGTCGTGCGTAGGTCGTGCGTACTCACACATTTGCGTCTATTTTGAAAAGTGATTTTTAATTTATTTTTTTTTCATAAAAAAATAAAAAAAAAGTTAAAAAATATTTTTAATTATCTTTTCAAAACATCCTCTTGTACAGTTGATCTCTTATAAATAATAAATTATTGACAAAAATTTTTATGTGATAAATTTAGGAGTGTAACTACGCTTGGTTTTACTTTTCAAAAAATACTTTTCAGAAAATTTTACTTTCTTATTTTTTGTTTTTATTATTTTTTAAAATATTTTAAGCATTTTTTTTAATTTTTAGGTATAACTAACTTAGATGTATCTAAAAAATAAAAAAATTATAAAGAAAACCTTTTAAAAATTCACTAAATACCCAAAATACATAAAAAAAATAAGAATTCAGTACAATTTTTATATTTTTATGTATTTATTAATTTTTTAAAATATTTTTTCACAAATTTTTTACTTTTTAGATACATCTAAGTAAGGTGTATCTAAAAGTAAAAAAAAATGTTTAAAATTTAAAAAATATCCACTAAAAACAAAAAAAATACAAAAATCAAAAAATTTAGTTTTTAAAAAACTTAATTCAAAAAACTCAAATCAAACACACTGAATATTATTCATACAACATTAAGAAATTTTATGAATTGTTTTTAGTTTTATGAATTTTTTATGGGATGAATTTTTTGCATTATTATTTTTTAAAATTTTGAAATTTCATTATGGTTGATCATATAAATTTTTTTTTATAAATCTTTTTCAAAAGATTGATTTTGATGGGATGAAGGAATGAATCTTATTTTTTAAATTTAATGAATGGTTGGTAATTTTGAAATGATGATCTTTTTCTTTTTGGTACAATTTTTGACATAATTGTCGTCCAATAACATAAATGGTCACTTATAAATATGTACGCACTCAAAAAAATAAAAAAAAATTTGTCAACCCGCACTGTCACTGACCCATACAAATTCAAACCAACTTCCTACCAAGTTGGTTCAGGCTTAGGGTTAGTTTGGCATAAATTAAATAATACAAAAAGTTAAAAAGTTACTATCCTATTTAAGTCACATCATCTTATTTAAATCACATCACCTCTCTAATACATCACATCAGACCCAATCCAAACCCAACTCATATAAGCCAATAAGTCAAAAAGTGTACTTTTTTAGAACATTCCAAACCAACCTGAGTAAGGTTGTAGTTGGCAATATTATTTTTTAGCACAAAAGTTAAAAAATTATTAAAAAATTAATAATTTATATTAAAAAATTAAAAATTTTATTTATTTTTTTATTTTTTACATATCTTTTGATAAAAAATAAAAAAATTATTTCAAATATATTAATTTTTTTACATCATATTTTAATTAAAAAGTTAAAAAATTATTAAAAAAATTTATTCTCAAACGAGATCTTAATGATAAAAGTTGATAAACAAATTAATTATAATTTTAAAACTTCCTATTCGCCTATAAACTAACCCAATTCGCCTATTTCATTGCATTTGCACACAAAATTCTTGCCTGACTCTAATGTCCTTAATTTCGTTTGTAATGTGAGTTAATTTTTTTATTATTTTAGTTTGGAATTAAAAAGTTTCATTTAGAGTAGGTTTTTTTATTTTTTTTGATTTTTGTGAGAACAAAAATTAAATGATTATAATTTAGATGTGACATTTTGTCTTAGGCTTATTTTGTTTTTTTGTAACTATTTTAGTCAAAAAAGTCTCATTTTAGCTTATGCCAAACAAAAACTTAGGAGTTGTTTGGGAAGTGCTAGAGTAGTATACTTTTTGACTTTTTATATAAAAAAAAAACGTAAAATATGGGTTGAATTTAAAGTGATGTACTAGAGAGGTGATGTGACCCAAATAAGATGATTGTAACCTAAATAAGATAATGTAATTTTAGCACATACCAAACAAACACTTATCAAATACATTTCCCTCATTTTTATCACATATTTTTAAGCAATTAATTATTTTATATATTAATTTGTGAAAATAATTTGAACAGCAATATGCATTGGATTATTTGTAAGTTTGTTTGTCAAATTTTAACTAAATATTTAATGTGTTTGGTTTTGAATTTTTTGGATTAAATTTTTTTAAATTTGAGTTCTTTGTTTTTTTTTTTTAAGTGAATATTTTTAAAATTTTAAACATTTTTTTTACTTTTTTAGATGCACTTTACTTAGATGTATCTAAAAAGTAAAAAAAATTGTGAAAAAATATTTTAAAAAATTAATAAAAACATGAAAATACAAAAAATATACTGAATTTTCATATTTTTTTATATTTTTGGTATTTAGTGAATTTTTAAAAGGTTTTTTCACAATTTTTTTCATTTTTTAGTTATATTAGGTATGTCTAAAAAGTAAAAAAAAAAATTACTTAAAATATAAAAAAATTCACTAAAAGTAAAAAAAAAAATATGAAAAATAAAAAAATAGAATTTTTTTTAAAATATTTTTAGAAAAGTGTAACCAAGCAATAATTTTTTTTACTTGAAATTATGAAAAAAATAAAGGTATATCCATTTCGTATTGTTAAAAGTGCCTAAAAATAACCAAAATATTTAAATAACTTGTCGAGTTTGGGGATGGACGAATTAAACATCAATCGATTTTTGTTTTTTTTTTTTTAAAAAAAAATTGACCACAGCGTGCGCAATTATGGATTCCAAACATAAGCCTTATCAGCAGATGTTCTAAATAAATGTACTTTTTGACTTTTTATGAAATATGGATTGAGTTTGAAGTGATTTGATAGAGAGGTGATGTGACTTAAATAAGATGATATGACTTAAATAGAATAGTGACTTTTTGACTTTTTTTTGGTTATGCCAAACCAAGCCTTAGTTTGGACTAAAATAATTATATAAGATAAAATTAACTATTTTAATTAAATAAAATAAAATGTTACATCTAATTCATAATTATTTCATTTTTTTCTCTCACAAAAGTTAAAAAGTCAAAAAGCCTATTACAAATGATAGCCCCAGACTAAAATAGCCAAAAAAGTCAACTCACATCTCAAACAAAGGTTGAAACTGTGCATATCTCGTATCACTCTCTTATTTTAGGTTGTGGTCATTTAAATTTTGAAAGAGTGTTCGGCGTTTAGTAAGTTTATTTTGGTGGTTTGAACCGTTTAATTTTTAAGACTTTTGGAGTGAATGCAAAAAATTAAGATAATCAGATATCGATAGTTATTTTAATCAAATTTGTGTTACAAAAAATTGATAATTATTTTTAAAATTATATTTCTTATATTTTTTTGAAAACAAATATGATTCAAGCATATAGCTGTTTCCAATCATCTTTTTTTTTTTGTATGCATATTCTACTCAACAAGTCTTAAAAAATGTACAATTCAGATTATCGAAATCAAAATCCAAAATGGGCATACTAAGCCCAAATGCTCTCTCAAAATAAGATAATTATTTAAGAAAAACCAAACCTTAGGCTAAAATGGTTATGTACCTCCCATTATTACGGGAAATTCTAATATACACACCTTTAAAAAAATGTATCATATACACTCTTAATTATATCATTTTATTTTCTTAGTTATGATTTTTTTTTAATTATGATATTATTTTAGTTATAACTCATAAGATTTTTAATTACGTCTAACGTTATGTTTAATTATAATATTTTTTTAATTATATTTAAAAAGTATAAATTTATATCATTTTTTTCTTTAATTATAAGGTGCAAATAATTTCTGAATCTTATACGGTTATCCAACATCAAATAACTTTATTTCATTGGAATAAAAAAAAAAAAAACTTTATTTCATTTTTATTTTTATTTTTTGGTCACATTCTCTGTTTATTAGTTTCAAAATATCGCGATATCTCGTAAATATAAACTAATCAGCGTGATTAAGAAGTGGAATAAATATATGAATATTTTATTGAGTAAATAAATAAAATTAAATCAAAGTAATATTTTAAGGGGAAAAAAATAGATTGCCTGCTTTTAAGATCTTTGTTGTTTTGCTGGCTTCTCAAAGTACAACAGAGCTTCTTCAGATCCGAAGAAAAAGGTTACAAAATTTACTCAAAACTAAAAAACTATACATACATATATATATATACACACACTGATATATATGTACTGTTGTCTGGTTTTTGTTATGGTGTGTCGGTCATGGACTTCGCTCTGTGTTGGTCTTGAAGATCGATTCTCTGTTGAAGACGATGATCGATAGAGAGAGAAAGAGCAGCGACAGAGCTTGATTTTTCTTGTTAATTTTCTCGCCGGAGAGAGTTAACAGAGGTTCTGTGTATTTTTTATTTTATTTTTGATGAGAGAGAGAGAGAGAGAGAGAGAGGATTTGTTTTGTTTTGCTTGTGTATTACCTGAGCGATTTGTGACTGTATAGATCTTGCTGAGAATCATTTTGAATTTGAATTTGAATTTGAATTTGAAGTTTTTTTTTTTTTTTTTTTTTTTGAAAAAAGAAAAAAAGAAAAATTATTTGAAGTGGATTGAGTTTGGTGGCTGTGGAGGATTGGCTTTCAATTCGGAGATGTTTTTCATGATATTCTAAAAAGACGGTTTCTTCAAGCTTAATTTTGCGGCTCGTGTTCTTGAAGCTGAGTCTGAGTTGGTCTGAAGACCAATTTTTCCACTTTTTAGGCTCGAAATGATTGGGAAGAGAGTTCAAATTGTGAAAATTGAAGTTTTGTGGATTGAATTTGACATCACTAGTTTGAAATTGTGCTGAATTTTCTGTTCTGGTTTTGGTGTTTTGTGGCAATTGAAGATCGTGCCTGAAGATTTTTGTTTTGGTGGGTTTTAGGGATTTCTGAGAAAAATTGAAGATTACTATAATTTAATTCTTATTCAGATTCTGATACGAAGACAGTCCAATTTTTAGCTCTATTTGCATGCATACAATTCAGCAGACACAGGTAAGAAATGGAATTTTATTGATTGAATTTATTATTTTTCTGTGTGTTTTGTTTGATTCTTCAAAACAGTGTTAATACTCTGTATAAAATTTATTATCTATCTGTTTACAGCATTTACTGCAGAAGAAATTGAGGCTGCTTGTTTGGTTGCTGTTATATGATCTTTATTTGTCATGATTACGTTCATAGATTCGAAAGATAAAATGAATGAAACTGAGAAATGTTTAGATTCTCAATTATGGCATGCTTGTGCTGGGAGTATGGTGCAAATGCCGCTAGTGAATTCGAAAGTGTTCTACTTTCCGCAAGGGCATGCTGAGCATTCATGTGGAAATGTCAATTTTAGAAATTGCCCTAGGATTCCTTCTTACGTTACTTGTAGAGTTTCTGCTATTAAATTCATGGCTGATCCCGAGACAGACGAGGTTTATGCGAAAATTAGGCTAGTTCCATTCAATAGAAATGAGATTGATTATGAAGATGATGGAGTTGGGGGAATTAATGCACCTGATACCCAAGAAAAACCCTCTTCATTTGCAAAGACACTGACGCAATCTGATGCGAACAATGGTGGAGGGTTTTCGGTTCCACGTTATTGTGCAGAGACGATCTTTCCACGGTTGGATTACTCTGCTGACCCTCCGGTTCAGACCATCCTCGCAAAGGATGTTCATGGTGAAATATGGAAATTTCGTCATATTTACAGGGGAACACCGCGGCGTCATCTTTTGACCACAGGATGGAGTACTTTTGTGAATCACAAAAAGCTTATTGCAGGGGATTCGATTGTGTTCCTGAGAGCAGATAACGGGGATCTTTGTGTTGGAATCAGGCGGGCAAAGAGGGGAATTGGTGGCGGACCCGAGTCGTCATCTGGGTGGAATCCTGCCGGTGGGAATTGTGTCATGCCATACGGAGGGTTATCGGCATTTTTTAGGGAAGATGAGAATAAATTGATGAGAAATGGTAATGGTGGCAATTCAACTGGCAAGGGGAAAGTGAGGCCAGAATCGGTTGTTGAAGCTGCAACACTAGCGGGCAATGGGCAGCCCTTTGAGGTTGTTTACTATCCTCGAGCTAGTACTCCAGAATTCTGTGTGAAGGCCGTGCTTGTGAAGGCAGCATTGCAGGTCCGCTGGTGCTCGGGGATGAGGTTCAAGATGGCATTTGAAACTGAGGATTCTTCACGGATAAGTTGGTTCATGGGAACCATATCCTCTGTTCAGGTTGCTGATCCCATTCACTGGCCTGATTCGCCTTGGAGGCTTCTTCAGGTACCTAAAATTTTTTTAGAATATGCATATATTCTTTTTCCCCGTACAAAATATAGGCTTGTATGATCACTGTAAGGTTAATGAATTATGTACCATATTAGTATGCATTTACTCGTTTTGTATATTTGCACCTTCTGTTTTTTCCTTTAAATTCTGATATGATGTGATGAGAAATTCTATTTGGGGATTGACAATCAGTACAGCAATTTATATTGATGTTGTGATGCAAAATTATATTTGGTAATTCATAAGCATTACTACAATTTCTATTGATGTTGGTTATATACAGAAGATGAACTGGGGGAATTTTAAATTTTTTAGAAAGATTTTAAAGAACAATCCTAAATTTAAATTCATTCCTATCTATAGGAAAACTTAACTTCCAAGTTTTACCTCTTGACAATTTTCTTTTGCCGATCAAAAAATAATAATTGTTTACTTGGGCAATTCACAAACCACGTAAGCACTTTCCTGAATAATTCTAATATTATATAGTTGGTAATTCCATTCTTTGCTTTTCTTATTTGATTAATGAATGCTTTGCAGGTGACATGGGATGAGCCTGATTTGCTTCAAAACGTCAAACACGTAAGCCCATGGCTAGTGGAATTGGTTTCAAACATGCCCGCCATCCATCTTTCCCCATTTTCACCGCCACATAAGAAGTTGAAACTACCACAACATCCGGATTTCCCTTTCGACAACAACCAACCTCCGATCATGCCGACATTTTCCAGCAACCTCCTCAGGCCCACCAGCTTCCCCTTAAATTGTCTTCCCCCCGACAACACTCCTGCTGGCATGCAGGGAGCCAGGCACGCTCAATATGGTATATCTTTATCAGATTTCCATCTCAATAAACTCCATTCAAGTCTGTTTTCACCCCCTTTCCTACGGTTTGATCATTCTGCCCGACCCATCAGACCGTCCAATCCCCATATCGCGCACAACCCTAGCAGCATTGAGAATGTTTCTTGTTTGCTAACAATGGGGGATTGTAACCCGACTTCAAAGAAACCAGGCAATGCGAAAGGAACCCAATTCGTGCTGTTTGGTCAACCAATATTCACCGAGCAACAAATCTCCCAAAGCTGCTCTGGGGATACAATTTCCCCTGTTCATACAGGAAACAGTTCTTCAGAAGGGAATGCAGATAAGATGGCCAATGTTTCCAATGGTTCGGGTTCTGCATTACCAGAGCGCTCATCTTGCGAAGGGCTTCAATACTTGGAAACTGGTCATTGCAAGGTCTTCATGGAATCAGAGAATGTGGGTCGTACTCTTGATCTTTCGGTACTTGGGTCTTACGAAGAATTGTATAGAAAGCTGGCAAACATGTTTGGCATTGAAAGTTCCGAAATGTTGAACCATGTGCTCTGCCGGGATGTGACTGGTTCTGTCAAGCAGATTGGAGAAGAACCATTCAGGTAAAATGTTTTTTTTAAAGCAATTCATAATGTTCTTTCAGAGTAATCTCTCAGAATTAAAAGAGATTGATTTGATCTATGTTTTTATTGTTATCCTGGCAGAGAGTTTATGAAAACAGCAAAAAGGTTGACGATTCTAATGGATTCAAGCAGCGATAATGTAGGAATGTAGATTGAAGAAAGAAAAGAAAAAGACTAGGATTTTCCAAATGTACACAGCTTGATGATTGAGTGCTTCATCCTTGTGCCCCCTTTTACTTGTCTTCCACGTGATTTGCTATTCTTCAATTTTGGAACCTAGGATTCCTTTTCGTGTCAGTAATTCAAGATTTGTCGGTAATGCTTTCTCGAGTTTTGTTCAGACAACTTTCTGCAAATACAAGTTTTTGAAAATGGATTGAAGTCTTCTAAGAAGCCAACTAAATTAAGCAATGTGCTTTGTTTATTTTTCTAGGGGGAAATTTGCTTCTGCCAATGGTATTTGACACAGAAATAAACGCTTGAATGGTTTAGATTAGATTTTTGTTGAAGTGGAAAAATGTCCTATTATTGTCTATTCCTTAAATATTTGTTTATAGAACTGTTAATTGTTGCCAATACAAAGTCATTTCCTTTTGTAATGAGTGACTCTAGATTTGGCACAAACTTACTTTGAAGCACTTGTGCAAACCGGTGCCTCTTTATTTAAAAAACAAAAAAATTATTTGGTAATTTCGGGAGACCACAATGGCATGTGTACCAAGTGTTCTCAAAATTAATAAGATCGAACGAAAGCGGACAGATGGATCCAATTTTGCCTACCACGTAGCTAATTGGAATGGATCTAAGTCATTTTCACTCATTTCGTGACTATTACTTCTATTAAATAAAAAACACCACGTGAGAGTAATGACTTGTGCTCCAGGACTATCAAATTAGCTTTCAATCACGTAACAATGAGACGAAACTCATGTACTTCTCCATCTCATGCAATTTCTAAATTTGATGCTTTCACACTTTTGTTTCCACTTTTGCTAACTTTCACACTTGCCAAACTAGTAACTTTAAAATAATAAATAAAATGATCATTTTATATAATTTTATTATTATATATTTTAATAAATCAAACATTATCTGACTTTCGTATAAGAAGTCTAGTTTGAAACCAATTTTCTTTGGGGGAGGGGTCCATTTTACGTGCACGAGTGAATAAGGATTAGAAAAACAAAGGGTTCAAAATGTCCATCCAACAAGACAACCATATGTTAAAACTTTAGGGCTCAAAGTTGACTCTTTTAACATTGTTTTCTATAAAAGCATGTTTTAGAAAGTGATATAGGCCAAGTTTGATAAGTTGTCAAAAAATCAAAAAGTTATTCAAAAAGTTAAAAAATTATCATTATTCACCAAAAGTTAAAAATTACGACTGTACAACTCTCCATCTTAATTTTTCCTTGCACACTAATTTATGTAATTTTTTAATACACATTTTTTCATAAAAAATCAAAAAGTTAACTCAAACATTCATATTTTTTTCTTCAATTTTTTAGTCTAAAAGACAAAAAATACACATATTTAGGACACCCTAAACAATTCCATAGTCTCCCTAGTTGATGAGTGCCACGTGTTATTATATTTTTAAAATACGTAAATAAAATATATAATTTAATTGGTTTAAAATTATAAATTTATGTTTCAAAAAAATATACAATTAAAATTATAATTTAGATTGTTTTGAGCTAATCAAAATTAATATTTTATTAATGTAAAAAATAAAATTGAACTTGTATCATTAATCAAAGAAAATAGGCAGAGTAAAGTCACATGAATCATACCAATCTTATTTTATGCAAAAAAAAAAACGTTCTTTGATGGATGCAAAAAAAAAAAAAAAAAAGTTCATCCAAATGCTACCAACTCTGAGCAAAAATATAGGCACATAAAAATTTAAATAAATCATAAATATATTTTTTAAGATTTATAAAAAAAAAAATACATCTGGTTTATTAATATTTATAATCATATAATAAATGATTCCCTTTATTAATCAATTATAAAATCAAATTAATAGAATATATTATGTAAACAACAATTTTAAATGGTGATTTGAAAGAAGAAACAAAAAAAACTTATATTTTGCTCACTTTTTTTCTTTCTTTTTTTTTTTAATATCCAAAGCACATTATTCAAACACAATCTAATAGCATCCTCAGGCTTGGTTTGGGAAGTGGGTTGGCTTTTTGGCTTTTTGACTTTTTTGGCTATTTTAGCCTGGGCTTAAAAGCTTGGTTTGGGAAGGGCTTTTTGGCTTTTTGGCTTTTTTGAGTTTTTTTGTGAGAGAAGAATGTAATGATTATGGGTTGGATGTGATGTTTTATTTGTTATGGCTAAAATAGCCTATTTTGTTTTTTGTGGCTAAAATAGCCAAAAAAGCCTCCAACCTCACTTGCCAAACAGAGGCTGGTTGTGCTATTATTGGTCATATCAAAACCAAAAAATGACTTGACTTCACAAAATTGATGTTTCAATAATGTGTCATTACTCTAACCCAAAAATGGCAAAGCCAAATTTGAGCCAAATTTAACTCAAGATTTGGCAAAATCATGTTGCTGCCAAAATGAAAATTGATATCAAAATTAATTGATTTTCATAAATCAACAACAATTTGATACCAAAATTAACTAATTTTAAAAAACCAACAACAATAAAATTGGTACCAAAATTTAAGGGGCATTTGACCCAAATCGAAAATTTACACCAAAGTGGAATGACAAATGCTGTGATATGGTGAGAATTTTTCAATTAATATGTTTTATTTCTTTCTGTTGTTATATTTTATTACACTATTATTTATTACTTCTATTTTTATTGTATTATTGACAAATTTAAATGTTAATTAAATTAGATAAATGGTTGTGTTAAAATGGCAAGTCTTGATTAAAATGATATAGGGAAAAAATTATTTTAGTAAAGTTATTTTAACTTAAACCAATGGGGAGACGCTAAATAATTTATTGAAATGTGAAACAGAAATTACAATAATCTACCTTTTCAAAAAATATTGAAACTAATCCTTAAATTCAGCACAGATGAGAGAGAGAATAGCAACAAACACAAATGAGTTGTTTGGGATGATCTAAATAAGTATAATTTTTTATTTTTTATAAAATATGAATTGAGTATGGTTTGACTTTAAAGTGATGTAATAAAGAAGTAATTTAACTTAAATAAAATAATTACTTTTTAATTTTTTTTTTTTAAATTATGACAAACAAAAATAAAATAGTAACTTTTTAATTTTTTTTTTAAATTATGACAAACAAAATCAAAGTCTAAATTCAATTACTACTCTCTCATACTTTGCTCTCATCATCCAAGCCTCTAAATTCAATTCTCTCTCTCTCTCTCTCTCTCTCCTCCTCCGCTCTAGTATATATAATTCAAAGAGGGAGTTACATTTACACGCAAAGACAGCATCAGCATATATAGCTACTAGGAAGCTAGTTTGCTGGTAACCAAATTCAATTCTCTCTCTCTCTCTCTCTCTCTCTCTAGACTATATATATACACACATATGGCTTGTTTGGTAAGTTAAGTTTAAGTTAAAATAATTAATAAAAATAAAATAAGTTAAAATAATTAATCAGATAAAATATTATATTTAAATTATAAGGGTAAACCATAAATACATTCCTTGAAATTTATTTAAAATACAAATTATTCTATATAATTTAAAAAATTATAAATATCCCTAGTTTAAAAAATTTATTTAACAAAATTAATTAATCCATTCTCAAACGCACCCCTAAGGTCATGTTTGTTTAGGCGGACTGGATTAGTATTCTCATGACTAATAGTTTTAGGATTACGAATCCGTTGAATTATGTATCTTATCTTAACTAATAGTCAAGTTTAAAATAATTAGTTCGTACTTCAATTGTTTAACCAAATATTAGATTAATAATTTTATTAAACTATTAATCTAATGTCAAATTCATATCCATCCAAACAACCATGACCTAAATGAGCAGAGACACTACGTGGGGATGGGGATGGGGATGGGGTTTGGTTGGATTGGAGTCCAGTAATAATGGGTTCACGTGCGGCAGCGTAGACTTGCATGCGTTGCGGCGTTTTGATGATCGAGCTGTTTCACCCACTTTTGTGTCTCTTAATTCCTATTCATACTTTCAAATTTTAATCGTCTTTAATAACCTATAAACATAAAATACAAAAATTTATAACAACAATGATTTATCCTTTTTTTCCCCACTCCCTTTAACCCCCTCTCTCTCTCATTGGTTACATTTTCTTTTTCTTTTTTCTTTTTTTCCTACTCCTCCAATCGCCACCCATAACGTGACAAAGGAGAGTGAGGGGGTGACCCCCAAAAGGGGTCCCAAACATTATTCAATTTATAAACAAAAAAATTTACAACTTTAAGGCAACCTGAACTAAGGGTCGACATGATCAAAATTTTAGGCTCAAATCTTGTCAATAGGTTGGGATCAGACGAACTCACGACTAGGCTCGCTCACAATCCAATGGGCAGGTACACAAGCTTAGCCCAATAGATTGAGGTTTGGGGATTGTTTGAGAAGTATTAGATTGACATATTTTTTTTATGAAAAAAAATATAAAATGTGAATTGGAATTGAAATAATGTGATAAACAGATGATATAACATAAATAAAATGATTTTGATCTAAATAAGATATTATGATAAAATAACATAGGTTATAACATATGTTATCGTACCTAATAATGGGTTCACGTGCGGCAGCGTAGACTTGCATGCGTTGCGGCGTTTTGATGATCGAGCTGTTTCACCCACTTTTGTGTCTCTTAATTCCTATTCATACTTTCAAATTTTATTCGTCTTTAATAACCTATAAACATAAAATACAAAAATTTATAAACAAAAAAATTTCCAACTTTAAGGCAACCTGAACTAAGGGTCGACATGATCAAAATTTTAGGCTCAAATCTTGTCAATAGGTTGGGATCAGACGAACTCACGACTAGGCTCGCTCACAATCCAATGGGCAGGTACACAAGCTTAGCCCAATAGATTGAGGTTTGGGGATTGTTTGAGAAGTATTAGATTGACATATTTTTTTTATGAAAAAAAATATAAAATGTGAATTGGAATTGAAATAATGTGATAAACAGATGATATAACATAAATAAAATGATTTTGATCTAAATAAGATATTATGATAAAATAACATAGGTTATAACATATGTTATCGTACCAAATGCCAAACAAGTCCTTAAAGTCTATTTTTTTAAAATAAAAATTATTTTATTTGACGGTGTCACGAGCTTTAAGGGAAGTCGAGCTAAGCTTCGACTTTAAATCCAAACTCAAGCTCAAATCTCAATTAAGTCCGGATACCTTATCTAAGTTACGGACTTAAGGGGTCGTTTGACATTGGTTAATATAATCAATTTTTTTTAGTCTAAGACTCTTTTAGCCTCGTTTTGTTTTTGTTTTAAGACTTTTTTAACTTTTGTAGGAGAAAAAATATAATGATTATGGATAAAAATT